ATGTGGAGGACTGGGAAGATGTTTTCAGGTCCTTGAAGGTTGTTTGTTCTTCAAGAGGCACCCCATGCTGCATTGCAGGTGCACGTGATAAACACCATAAATGTGAGACTGAAGTCCTGAGCATTTAATAATGTTCTAGTTCTGATACGCTTCTGTTGTGAGTCATTAGATGTCTTTAAGCTGGATGAGGCCTAAGTATGGCATTTAAATGCTAACAGACAATCATTTTTTAAAGCTGTGGGGTTTTTTTATTCTGTTTTTTTCCTCCTCTCCCAGCAGGAGAACTGAAGTAGTTTTATTTATGACAGCATGTACATAAATGAGAAAGCAAAACAGAAGAGCTGTTTGTACTCTGTGGCTTCCGAGACACAATTCTTTTAAGAATGAGTTTGAACATACTTGCTATTACTGTGTAGGGTAGTAATTGTCAGGGACATTTTATCTGAAAGCACATATTTGATTTTCATCTAAGCTTTTAAATTTTTGAGCAAAAAGAAAGGATGTTGTACTAAATACCTTTCCATAGATTCCAACAGCAATACCTCTAGGCTGTGATCGAAGAATTTTTCAAACTGAAATTCTATCTATTCCCTTACCTCTCTTTTTCTAGCTTGTTCCCTTCCCAGTCAATAAGCACTATCTCTCTTGCTTCCCTTTCTCCTTGGCCCAGGCAACATCAGGCTGATGTAGCTATATTGCATTTGTTTTAGGAAAACATGCCTGTCTTCAACACTGTGTTGTGTCCTTTTCCTCTTCTCAAGCTTGGAATATGCTGTCTTGTTGGAGAAGGTGAGAGTGTTTTTTGTACTGTCATTTAGGACAAATGAAATTTCTTAGCATCGTTGCACCACAAAGTTGAGTTTTTGTTTTAGATTTAATGTGAATTATGAACTTAAACTGTGTGTAGGCATTTTCCTATTATGTATAGTGCTTATTTTCCAAATAACTTTTCAGTGGGTTATTTATCCGTGTTATGTGTGCATCATTAACCGAGCACATTTGAGTCCTGGATTTTTTTTAGTTCATAAAATGGTTTATTGAGCTTAAAACCCCATAATATATTCTTTGACAAGGACCATACTTACAGGATGTTTTCAGAAAACTTTCATGTCATCTTTAATTTGTTTAGTGTGAAGTTCACTTGCATTTTATAGTTTGTCATTTGTAGAGCAGGACAGAGCAACCAGAATACTAGCCAGTTTAATGGCATTTATAGTGGTTTTACATAGATAGAACATCGCAAAGGCAGGAATAAACTGAGGGCAGGCAGCCTTTCACTTGCTATGAGTCTTTATTCTCTTATTCTGGGGGGAAAAAAATAATCAAATTTAAGATTCAAGACATTTTATTTTTGACTGATCAGATGAAGTTGGGCATAAATCTATGTAAGAGGAAAAAAGGGAAATTGCTAGGCTTTGTTTTAGAAACTGGTCCTTTATTTCACAGTTCTTTGGTCACTTTGAAGGAATTAGCTGTTTTACCCTGCCAAGAGGAATTGATAATCACTGATAATAATTAATTTTCCCTAAATAATGAAAGGCAATTATTCCTCAGTCCTTGCTAAAACAAAATCTTCAGCTTTCAAATGAATGTTATTCCTAATATCTATTCTGAAGTTGAATGTAGCCTGAGCACAAGAATTTCCACTCTAGAGGAAGTCTGATTAGACTTTCTTTCCCTCACAGTATTGAAATGTATGACATTTCATCCTAAACTGAATACAACGTAAGAGTTATTGAATTAATACATTAATTCATGTAAGTAATTCTCGGAAGGCAGGCACGATATTAAAACCCCACCCTCCTCCACCCTTGAAAAAGAACTTCCCCAAAACAATCCCTCCACAAAGACCCTCGGATGTTTCAGATCAAAATTCGTGTCTTCTGGAGGCCATGACTGACACCTCTCTAATATCTCTATCTAGTGTAACAGTATGAACTTTCTGATGTGACAAATATCAGTATCTGTCCCAAACAGGAGCTGATGATTAAGTTTTGTAACTATTGTGATGGAGGAAACTGGGAAAGTTTGTGTGTTTTACTTGGCAAACATGCTAGCTTCCTTAATGTAGAACTGTTCTGTATTTGGGCATTTAAGTGTTATATTAGTTATGGTGGTGGTGTGATGCACAGGGATAGGATCATAGAGGACTGATATAAATTAGAATATGTGTGGCTTTGACTAATTAAAAAAAAAAAAATTAACATGAGGTTGATCAAATATTGGAACAGAGGCCTGGAGGACTTGTGAGATATCCATCCTTGAAGATGCTCAAAACTTGACAAGTTCCTATGCAGTCCTTTTCAATTAGACTTGCTTTTCTTAGGAGGTTGGACTATATGACCTCCTAAGATCCCTTCCAACATACATCATCGTGTGTTACTAGAGAACTTTCTTCATCTGTTTGTCTGACTAAGATACGCAAAAAATGCATGCCACAGCATCTCCTGGGGCTCTGGATGTCTGATCATCCAGTAAAAGAGTTCTTGATGCACTGCACCACTTCTCCCACTTACGAGACCGGTGAAGTAAGAAAAGCAACAGAGGAAAAAATGCGTGACAAGTCTTTATCCCAGCATACAGGTAGTTGAAAGGCAGTTGGGGTACCCAGGAACTGAAAATATTTCTGACACCTGGGGACTAAACACAGTTTTTTGTTAGTCAAAATTATTGCTTTGTAGAATAGTGTCATCCATTCTGTAAGCATGGGCAAGCCTAATTTCATACGTAGTGTTTCTTATTGCTTAGTAAAATGTATGCTTCTTTGTTAATAATGACCTGTTTTCCTAGCTTACTGATACCACTTTGAATTAACAATGCAGATACAAATCTACTGTGAACAATTAGATACTTGAATCTTCAGGTTTTTTCTTGTTTTGAAAAGACAAATAGAATCTAGAAGCACAAGGTAAAATCTGAAGATTGTTTAATTGCTTAGCTATAGACTGGGGACATCTCTCTTAAGCTTGGAGAATTTCATATGTTGTGGAAAAAACGGTAGAATAAGTAGCAACCGAGGTGTAGTTGGAGTGATGATGCTGAGAGCTGTATAGCAGCACTCTGTGTAGCTGGCAGGGCAGCTTGGAACTAGCCCATGTGTTCTCTAGTTTTGACGTGATCTTTGCGCATATATTTGGATTGGTGAACGTGCAAATATTGCAGAAGGTTTCAGGACACCGCTAGCATTAGATTCTGGAGTACAAGGAAAACTTCAGGTTTTCACGTATGGGCTCCTGAACCCTCGTATTTGTCTTGCTTCTCTAAGTACACTTTTTTTCTGAATTGGCAGGAGGCAATGGCAGCGGTAGATAACAGGCTTAGGCATATTTATCCCTGTGTAATACCTGCTTTTGATGAGTACCAAGGGCAGGCGCCACTCTTACTTACCCATATTGTGGCTCTGCCTGTAGGTATTTGCTATATTTATTGAAGTCATATCAACTTACAAATTCTCCTGCTTAAAAAATTGTGTTAAAAACAATGTGCTGGCTTGGTTTATTTTAAGGCACTTCCGTTTAACAAGTTCTTGGTCTGTGAGGGTTTCTTTGTTTGCTGTTTCTTCCCCACCACCCCCCCCCATTAGTACTAGACACTAGACTAAAATGATTCTTTGCCTGCTCCCCTTATCATATCTCTTGGACCTCATTTCCAACATAGAAATGTGTTGTCCAAAGTAGCTGCGTTAATCAGCTCTGTATGGTAGAAAGAGCTCCTTTCTTGGTGATGGCAGATTAATATGTGTTTACAGTTTTAAGAAACTGGTATTCATTAGGTTTTTGGAGAGAAATGCCAGTTTTCTTATTACTTTTAGGTTATATATTGGAATAACTCTGGTAGTTTAAGGTCCAGTTTTATGTACTCAAAAACAGGTTTAAAGGGGAGTTCGGTAGGTGATTTTGGCACCTGCATGGGGAAGTTTCAAGGAAGTAAAATGCTCACTGTCTGTGTACTTTGAGAATTGTAAATGAAAGCTTTGTGTTCTGTTGGCTCTGCAATATTGATTTTAGTCATAGACTGTTCTTGCAGCTGTTCCAGTCTTCTGAATAATAGCCATTTAACTGTATTCAGAATTTCATTTAAAAGGACAGTTTTTAAGGCTAATAGATTAAATAGAAAACCTGTGCTTTTTAACTTCCATTGAATTGGTGACTTACCTGTGTGTATCTCTGCCCTCCTAATAGCTTATTTCGCATGACTAAACAAGTGACAAAGACATTTCCCCCCCTTCCTCTTTTCTCTACGTTTCAAAGAGAACGTTAAAACAATCTGTGGATAATATTAAGTCAAAACTCATTTAAAATAAATATGTCAATATCTGCAATTTTTTCATGAACTGAAACTTCTAAAATGGGAACATGTTATTATGGTCTCTTAAGCATAACAATTTTTTTTTTAACTCCACTTTAGAGAACACTTCCTTTCTGAATGTGGGACTTAGATGTGGAAAATACATGTTTGTCTTTTCAAGACCTAGGTGGTCTTTAGACTGTGTTGGATTATGGAACATAGAAATATTGCTAGACTATTGTGTGGCTTTAAATATATGGGTAAACATACAGATATGCAATTAAGGTAATAAAATAGTAGCCTAATTTTATGGATATCAGAATGAGCTCACATGGTATCTATTTACTTGTCAGCAGTCAAACCCAATAATTTTAACACAAGCCACTTATTCCGTTCTCTTCTGTGCAGTGCTGCTTCTTTGCCAAATAGAGAGATATTTAGACCGACATAGCTTCCATATGTGTTCAGTGACTTGTTTCTACTAGATATTTTACCCATCACTGCTGCTGAACAATAGTAGAACTTCTGTCACTTAGGAAAGTATGAACTATGTTGTACTGAAACTTAAATACTTTGTTGTTGGCTGTTTTATCGATGCCTTTTGCATCAATAAAAATATTTGGGGGGCATGACCTCCAAAATGTAAACTTATAAATATTTGTTTAAATGAAATAATTTTTACTTAGTTAAATGCTTTTGAATTATTTTTATAGGGTTTAGTTTAGCAGCTTTTAAGAGGAACAAGAGGAAGCTGGAGTTGGCTGAAAAGGTGGAAACAGATCTCATTCAACTGAAGAAAAGAAGACAATCAAACGAAAAGGTTCGTTCCTGTTTAAAATTTTGTCGTCATCCTAAACTTACAGCTGATTGCTAACAAATTTCATGTCATATATAAGATGAGACTAATGTAGCATCAGAAGCCACTTCTCCTTGACGACCCTAATGTTTAGACAATATAATGATAACTTAGTGCAATTAAAACTTTCTGCTTTGCTATTTGAAAACCAAACTGTCACTTTGTATCTTGTTTGTGCTATGAAAAATATTATGCTCATTTTGAACTGGAAATATGACAAATGTAAACACAAACAGATAATTATTTACTGAAACATTTTCTTTAGCTTGGGATCTCTGTCACTGTTTCCCACTTTTTAATGTTTCCTGAGCGCACTGCATTATGGAGCTGGAATTGATGAAATTTGAAATATCAGGTAGGTAAACATGTGCATCTGTGCATGCATCTAGCATTGACCTGGCCCATATTACTTGTACTACAAAACTGTTAGGATTCCCTCTGTTCCCCTCACTCTTAGTTTGTATTTAGAGCCTTTGTTAACATTTGAGAATGTCAGTCACAGTGTTTGTGTTTACTGTTGAATATCAAAGTACAGCTCATTAAATGAAATGCCTATGCTTTATTTGGGGCCTGTGGCCTTTCGGATTGGCCCTTTCTCCTTGCTTTGGTAAGCTGACTGATCACTGCCTTATGTAGTTACATGCGTTGATATAAATAACATATAAAAACCCAGAGAATTGGCCAAAAAGTTTATTCTCTGTAGTCTGTGCAAATGCAAACCAGTGATAAATTTGGCATTTTCTTCTGTGTTCTTAGAAAAGAAGTTTTTCCTAGCAGGGTGCTAATTTTTCTATTTTTAAGGAGGTAAGACCTGTAAAGAAAGTAAGGATAGAGGGAGGGGAAAAGTTAGTTGTTAGTTATTCGTGTTGGAACTTTTCCTGTTTGCAGAACTTCACGTACCTCCTTGTGAAACTAAGGGTGTTAAAATGTAACTGAGGGAGGAGGGGTCTCTGCACAGTATTGATGTTCACGTAATAAGGGGCAAGTCAATGCTTGAAACATATGCCAATGCATGAGCTTACCCACCTGCAATTTGAAATTTCAAGGGCTCCAGAGTCATGTGCAGCGCTTGTGGGAGACCCTCAAAGGCCAATGATGGTAGGTAAAGGAGGTGATCAAATAGAGCTCTACTCACCGGTAAGTAATCCAGTAACAACATGCTGGTTTTGTCAACTTTCTGGGCGCATCCTGTCCATGGAGGGGGGATGAAAACTAAACCATGCTATCGATGTGGACTGCTTGTGTTATCCACAGAGTGTAAGATAATTGCAGCCTTACATGAAGTTTAGGTTTTCAAAATGAAATAGAAATGAAAACTCAAATTCTACAGGAGCAAATTCTGAAAAAAAAGAAAAATAGTAGAATAATTCTGTCTAAGCTATTAGAGAAGAGTCATTTAGCAAGGATGAGGCACATGATCTGTCATCCCAAAACTCGTACTGTCAAAGCTGAGCTTTTGTAAAGGGTTTCAAAATAATTGTTTAAAAAACATTTAAATACTTGAATAATTAAAAGTTAATCTTGTTGTCAAAGTTAAGCTTTAATTGATAAGTACTCAATTTTATTATTTGCTGTGCTTCTCTGGAGCTGCAGACCTGTCCCTTTCAGC